TAATACAGTTCCTTGTATAGTGGTGACCCCCAACCATAAAATTATTTTCATTGCTACTTCCTAACTGTAACTTTGCTACTGTTATGAATTGTAATGTAAATATCTGATATTTGGGATGGTCTTAGGCAACACCCATGAAAGCGTCCTCTCAGGTTGAGAACCACTAGCTTAAACCATCAAGTTAATCTGTTTCAGGCTAGTGGTGAATGGTAGAAAAAGCCCACCTCCCCACTCCAGGCTGATCACCATTTAATTGGTGGTGCTACCTACCTGCAGTATAGCCCGGAGTCTCTTCCTTTGCCCATAGGGTTCCGAGCTTACACATTCCGGAGCCAGCTGCTAGATTTAACATTTGGCTATGACACTATGTTCCTTGCCTGCCTCCTAGAGCTCCTTCCCAAGGCATCCTGCCCAGTGACTCAGGAACCAATGGGGAGTTGGATAACTTGGCCACACTGGGAACTACAAGCTCTCCAAAAGTGTCAGCTGAGAGAAAAGTGCCCAGGTTTCGGTAGCAGGGGGAGACATTAATCCTAACACAAATTAATTACAGTATGGGCTTTGCATGTGATTACCCCACCATTAGCGGGGCTATTTGTAATCACACCGGCTTCCTAGACTTCAGCAAATATATTATCTGTAATGTGTCCCCCTTTGGCCCTTCCTAACCACTTTTGTGGTCGTGCTCAGGACATCTCCTCATAGCAGCAGCCCCACAGAACCTCTTGCCTCTCCTGAGCAAGCTCAGAGAGTCAGAGACAGCAAAGGCCGAGCATTAGAGCATTGCTGTGACCTCCTGTGGCCGGGGCTTTGAGGCTGGAGCCAGAGAAAGGGAGAGGGAGCGAGCATTTGGGTTTCTCACTTCCACGTCCTTCTTTGAAAACCAAGACACTGATTTTTTTCATAATTTTAAATCCTGCCTAAGTCTGCAAGCATTAGGATTCCGAGACTATGACTGACTATTAGTATGTGTCTGCTTTAAATGTCAAGAGAGTCTTTAATAACAACATGTGAGGAATGTTAAGATGATGAAGGAACACAATAAAAGTAGGGAAATTCTTGAGTTGGGGTGAAATGAACTGTGGGTCACCCACCAGCTGAACATGGCAGTTGATGGTTGGGAAATCTTCACCAGTTTGTCCCAGTGCTGAATTCAGAAGGCGTGTGAATGTCTGCGGACTGGGTACAGCGTTTCCACTTGGTAGCTGATCAGGTTGGTGGAAGAGTTGGAGTTGCCTTCCTTCCCTCCAGAGACTCCTGTTCAGGGTGTGTGGGTTTGATTTCTGACACCTTATTCCATTTTGCTCTGATCGTGTGCAGTTAAGGGAGCAGTGTAACTGGGTGCTGTCTGTCAAAGTGAGGTTTGTCTGTCGGGTCTTTGCTGCATAAAAGCTTGCTCTGAAAGGGGGATAGTCCCGTTTGAAGTCCATGGAAGACCGGGGTCACCAGACTCCTTTGCTTTTACGTGCACTCTTGTGGCCCTTCAAAAGCCCAGACTTCCTGTGTCCTCTCTTGAGAGGTGCCTTAGCAGGCTTCATTGAAACCTCAGAGTTTAGTGGTGGTCTCCTTGGGGACATCTCAGTCCCTCCTGCTCCTCGGGTGGGTCACCTGCCGCCACTGTCCATCCCACTCCTGTGTCAGTGGTGTCCTAAGTCAGGGCGAGGAGTGGTAGAGGGGAAGACATTTGTCATTCGGGGAAGGTCCCAGCGGAGTCAGTCCCTTTGGGTCAAGTTAGAGCCAGCATTATAAAGCAGGATTCCGGCCTTACTTCTGTCCTTTCTTGGCGCTGTGGCCTTACAGGTGTCCATCCTGTGTGCCTCAGTTTCCCCAACTACAGTACATAAGTCAAGGGGACCCAGAGCCACAGTGATCTTTATTTCTGTCCAAGCAAGTAAATGGCTCACACCTTCCCCTCATCGGTCCCTAATAACTGGAGCACATTTACGTATTTCCCCTCACTCATTTCAGTGGAGCTGCCAGATTGCCCTGAAAATAGTCCCCCTGACAGCAGGCAGAAGGGAGATGGTGAGGGAACCCCCAACTCTGCTCCCTTTCCCTGACAAAAGCATGCGCTGGATCTCCCTGGGGTTCGTCTGTGCAGACATTGAGTGGTGGAATGCCTTGTCTTTGGCATTTGTCGGTGGTCTTGGAGCAGTGCACGAGTTCTTAGCTTCCACACCTTGTCTAAAACCCAACTTGAGGCCTGGATAATAGAAGAGAGGGTGACCGATACCATCCAGCGGAGACAAATCAGTTGCCCAGGGCTGAGGGCGAGATACAGTCAGGCCCAGCGATAAATCTATCAGAGTTAGACATCATCTTCCCTGTGCTGTCTGCCCTGTTCTAGTCTTAAAAAACGGAGGCTTATTTCTCTCCCCACCCAGACTCACAGCTGACTCTGTTACACCCCATTATGTGGATCCTGATTCCAAAGATATACCCAGCCAATGTAGACTAGACTGATTTAATTTCTTCTTTAAAAAAAAAAAACTGCAGCAGGTATTTTTAACCTCCGTGAAGCATTCATTAGTCGCTGCACCGAGCTTGCTCTGTACAGAACTCATGTTCAGAACAACCCAAAGGGTTCCGAGATGAGGAATCCGTATTTAGAAGAAAAAAATGAAATGCTCGCGAGGATTACAGAATGTGCTCAGAGGCCAGGATTTGAACACAGCACAGTAGGATAGCGTGTCCAATCTCTCCTTCCATTCTGCTGTCTTTCAAGAGAGCTGGTGTACAGCCCAGCTCCTTCCAGTGACCCACTGGCCTGCCCGTATAGCACCTACTGGGGAAGCTTTTGAGAACCAGTCTCTTTGGACATCACAACATATTTTATTTTTTAATTTGTCAGCCAGATGGCTAGTTGTCTTTGGACAGTTTCTCAACCCCCTTTTCTTGGCTTTTCATGGACTCCCGAGGGAAGAGGGTGTACTAAGGCCGTATTCCCTACCATAAGATGTCCGTATCCTCACATGATGTAATGAAGCAATGCTGGAAAAGTTGGTGGCACTGAGGGGGTTGTGGGATGTGTTCCCAGGGGCAGTAAACTTCAGGGTGTGTGTGTGGCCCTGCAAACGCACACATTGTCCTTGCCCTTGTCTGTTGGAAGGTCAGGCTCGGGGTAAGGAGAGGATCTTGCCTGGTGCCGGGGCTTTAGGGTTTTTTTTTTTAACTCCTTTTACCATCCTTATTCCTTGTAATTGCTACATCAGAGATGTTTACCCCTAAATTAAGTCACAATTAATATGCAGCAGCCTCTTGGGTAAATACCACCTTTCACCCTTTAATTTGTGTTGTTCGGCATGGGCAGTGTACTTACCTCATGTTTTGAGAAAGAGTGGTATGCATGGCTAAATTCCTTTCTGCCCCGTGAGAGTTTTCAAAACAAACTTAAAACCAACAACAACAACAACAAAGACATTTTCAGAGGAGTTTAGTTTTAGTATAAAAAACAAAAACAAACAAACAAAAAGGCAACAACAATAGAAAAACAAACCTTTACGGCACTTAACATAAAAAAAGGAATAACCATAGAAAAATGCTGCTCCCAACATTTGAAATGTTTTGTCTGAGCCGCTCTGAAACCCCAAATTCCTTTGGCGTTATGTGTTTAGAGAGTCTTAGTTTGGCAGCACAGTAATGCTCCAAAGAACGGGATGGTAACATAAAGCCCACCCTAAGATGGCGTCATTTTCATTTCCTGTTTGTTGAAAGATAAATGCTAACACTGGAAGGCTTTCTCCACACACACACACCCCACTTCTTCTTCTTCTTAATTTATTCCTCCCTGAACCACAAGGGAATAAAAAGAAATAAAAACTCAAGTGTGATATGGCTGTTGACTGAGCCAGCCAGTGGGGAAGAGGCAGACGCGTGTCTTCTTTTGCCATTGCTCCTGGCCCCCTTTCTCTGTCTTCCCCTGACTCCTGAGCCCCGACCTCCTGTCTCCCCACCACCAGAAATAACTTGGTTAAAAATGTGAAGTGGGTTTAATTTTGGCATAATTTTAGACTAAAAAAAAAAAACCTTACTTCCTAAAGATTTAAAACTATGAGGTATTAAAAGAATAGGTTCCCTACCCTGCTTCTGAGGCATTGTTTTGGACAAACTATCTGTGAAACTTTGGAAGATGCACACACTAGTGCAAAAATATTCCTCCCCTTCCCGAGTCTACATTGTCTCTTCATGCTGCATCTGTTTCCTCGACTTCACTTTATTTTTGGAGTCCATATTAGACACTACTTATCTAAAAGTCTTCACTAGAGGTCCTTGCCCCACCTCTCTTGTGATATAACCAAGTTACAACTATATCAAAATGGTCCAAAACCAGCATAAAGGTTATAGCATCTAATGAATAGCGACTTTTCCACTCTGCCTATCCAGTTAGAAACATCTGTGACATCAGAAGGTAACTTTTCATGGAATGAAGACACTGGGATTATTAAGAGAACATCTATCTAGTGGGTACTCAGATATTGAACCCCTGGAACAGGGAACTTACTGTTCACCTAATAATGGGAACCCTCAGTCCTGGTAGCCTCGTTCCTCCCAGCCATTGTCACCTGCCAGCCCCTGTAAGATAGACTCAGCCAGCTTTCCACAAGTGTATCCAGGTGTCCATGAGTTTGTCCACAAGCACAACAGATGAGTTTATGAGTGTGAGCTAGCTGCTCATCTTCCCGTGGCCTCCTCATGAATCAGCTTGGCTAATGGGCATGATTCATGCTTGCCTTTGAGCTGTCCATGTTCCCTGGGACTCTGTGGTGCCAGCAGGTCTAGAATGTCCCAGTTAAAGACTAATGCACCTTGTGTTGGGAAATCTCACATCAACACCTCCGGTTCCTCAGACTTTGGCAGGGGTCCTGTAGATTTCAAATGATGAAGTAATAAAAATGATTCTATCATGTGCTGTAGTTAGTTGGGATATGCATAGTTGGAGGTATTTGAAAGAGTCACACATCTCTATTCAAAGACATAACAAAGCCTTTTCTTCCCATTAGCTTGCAAAAGACAAAGAGCGCCTGCAAGCCATGATGACCCACCTGCATGTGAAGTCTACAGAACCCAAAGCTGCCCCTCAGCCCGTAAGTACTGGTCCCCACCTGGGGGAATGGCACCATAAACTAGTGGTATTCCTTCTCTGCATCCCACCTCAAGCACTGGGAGAATAGCTCCAGAGGGCAGCTGGGAGTTCCAAGCCCTCCTTCACCTGACTCTTTCTGGCTTTTCATGGAGAAGACAGGCAGGATGCTAGGCATCTGGGAGAGACCCAGGATGAGACAGACATGGTATCCATCCCCGGTTTTTAGAAGTTGGCTTTGCTTGTCGTATTTCCTTGTACTGGGCCTTAAAGTTGAGATCTAGGTAGGCATATGAGACCTAAAGCAAACATCCTGCCTTGAACCTTGTTTTGTTGGTTTGTTTGTTTGTTTGTTTTTAAACCGTAAACTGATCTCATCAGCATTGGTATCACTCACATGCATTTCTGGAAGTCTCCTAGTGGCTCTAGCTGATTATTCAAAATGGAGGCCATGCCTTGGTGCCTGATTTTAAGATTTGTAAAATTTAAAGGTACGCTGACTTTATTTGATTTTGCTGGGAGTCCCTATGTGAAAATTAATTGAGCGTTGACAATCTATAGTTAGTAGCAGCAATTTTAATCAACATGCAATGATGCAGCATAATGGCAAAGTATTGGTTTATCTGTTTTGACGGATTTTTTTTCTATAAATAAAGCAAACATACACCCCTATATGTATGATGTATGGTGATAGAAATAAAACGGAGTCAGACTATTAACCCAGCAAATATGGTAGCCTGCCAAGATGCAGTTGGCAGACAGAATTAATGTCTGAAGCAGAACACATTACTGAGATACAGGACATAAAATCATTAAACACTCCACGCATCCATTTTTACTGAGAAAGAGTCCTAGCTTCCATGTATCTCACAGTAAATGGCTGCAGGATAGGATGGGTAAGCTACCAAAAAGGAAAGGATGGGGAAAGAGCCAGACCATCCGAAGCTGCTCTTCATCTCTTCTTTTCAGATGACTGTTGGGAAGAATTAACGCTACCCTGAAATGGTGGCATGACCGGTGGCAAAGGGGAGTGATTGCCCTGGACCTGTCTGGAGATCCTCAGTGGTTTTTAGTGAAGTGCTTCCTTCAGATTGAAGACGCTAAGTCTTCACACATAGCAACAGGGATAGACAGGTTGTCCCCATCTCCCTCCATGAATTAAAAACAGCCATGATAGAGTCATGATTGAATGTAACACTCTGGCAATAGGCTCATTTTGGATCAAGGCAGAGGAGGAATCCATGTAAAGAGATGGAACAACAGAGTCCATTTGGGGTCCTCAGTGGGTAATGGGGCCTGGGACTAGCCCTGAGCACCATGTATATAAGCCCACATGGGCACATGAGGACCCTTGATGCGCTGTCTCCCTGTGGATCTGTGCTAAGTAGCCAATAAACAAGAGAAGCAGCTAGGGGTGAGGGAATGAACAGGGAAGGAAGGTTTGTCTTGATTAGTATTGAAAAAAAAATGTTTTACATTCTAGAAAATTATAACTTTGAAGGGGACCTCCTACTAAATTTATTTTTAACTGCTCTATTGAAAATTCTCTACCACTAGTCAACATTATCTCTTAGAAGCTCAGCACAGTATTTCTTTATTAAAAGAAATAGGCACGAATATTTTTGACTGAAAAATTAATAGCTTTTGAATTCATACACAGCAGGTTTTCTTTTGCAAAGAAGTCCAATATCGCTGCACAGCACTTCTATAACCATTTATTTAGCGTCCAAGTCAAACCTTTGACAGCTAGAGCGGTGCTACAAGCCAGTATAAAGAACTCCAAGATGTAAACCAACAATAGCCTGTCTGTGTGAGGTTTGCCATTGTCAAATACATAGATTGTTTGGATTAGTTTATGTAAATGTACTGTTGTATTACCCTTTGGAAAAAAATCACATTTGTGTATGAAAAGTGGTTCCCCTCACAGGCAGCATTATAAATTCCTTATCCTTTAACTTACATGTAAGAACTAAAAATTGGTGCCTGACACGTAGATATTGTGTGACACTCTGTTGTCGGAGTGAACCTGCCTCCTTTTCATTTATTGGAAAATAGAAAATTTTATTATAGATACCATCTTATAAATCAGGAATTATTAAAATATGTATAGGTGAGGCATTGGAAAATTAATTATAAAAGATAGACGTGTAATGTTTTGCATAAATTTTCACTTCCTTGCCAAAAGAAAAGAAAGAAAGGAAAAAAAAAGCCCATGCATATTTCAGACCCCTTGATGATTTCAACTTTAGGGACTCAGAGCTATCTGGTGACTGATCCTAACATTCAAAATATTCCCTCCAGCCTGTAATTAATTTATTCCACCCTAAATAATAGAATGAATGGCTGGTGAGCATTTGAATGAGCATCCTTCTAGAATCCACTGAGTTTCATATCTAACCATAGATGGGGACTTCCACATTACAACCATGCCAGTGAGTTTATGAAGTTGTTTCTTTTTCCATTTCTGTTTAAAAGGAACTTGGTGTTTATTTTAAAATTCTTAGTCACTAAGTGATAGAATGCTCAGCTGTAAATGTTGCCCTTCGCTAAATGTCATTTGGGTGCTAAGTGGCTTTTGTAGCCAGTGGTCCACCATGTCCTCAGTTCCTCCCATCCGAGAGCTGCCAACACGTTCTCAGGTGGTTCTTGCATCAGCTCAGAGGTGTGTTTTCTGGATCCCAGCATGGGGCACATCTTTAGGTTTGGATAGTGACAAAATGTGCACATTCCCAGAACAGTGCCCAAGGGTGTAGACAAGGCTCTGACAAGGTTCACCCACAATGGGCTGCAAATGTATGGCTGATGGGAACAGTATATCCCCAGCCTCGGGTCTTGCTGACTCCTTGGGTAGCATGTCTTCTGATGGCCATCACATCTCTTTTCTCAGAGTTGGAATTCCTGAATGTAGAAATCAAGCCATTCCATCAAGGGATAATTACTTGGCCACAGTGACATACTGAATATGGTCAAACAAGAAAGACCTGTACTTGCCAGAGAGGTGTTTGGAGTCTTGTGAACAAGCTACCAAATAATTGCATGCATATATCCACACATATGTATACACATACCCATACACACATAGATTATTTGTTGCATAGAGAATGCTGTATGTGACTGGGAAAAGTGACCTGAGGAAACGATGTGTCGTTTGAAACCTAAGAGCTGCATAGAATTCTCTAGAAGGAAAGAGGTCAGCTTCCCAGCTCTTGCCTCTGGGGAGGAGTGGCTACACGGATGTGTGTGTGTGAGGACGGGGGCTGGGAGAGGAACATGTATGATGAGGGTCAGAATGCCGGAAGGGGAGGAATCACCAACCTCAGAATTCAGCTGTCAGCTGAGCCGGGCCCTGCTTGAAAAGGCCTCGCTAGCATCTAGCCAGTTCTAGCAGTTAGGTACCAAGAGAGAAAAGACTCTTGTTGACATATGTTTACAATAGCCAAATTTGTTGTAGTTTAAGATTTAAAAGTTCTTCTGTTTCCCACGGAAAGAGAAGTAACAGCAGAAAGGGAGAAAATAGTCTGATCTTCCTTTGTTCCAAACCCGGTTCCATTCCCGGAGTGAACAGCACAATGTCGCGTCTATACTTAACTCCATGCAGAATTGGCGAAGATGTAACTGAACACAGAAGGACAACAAAAGGAAACATGTCTGTGTTAGGACTTTCTTCAGTTGTCAGTGACTTCTTACAGAGCCACTTTGCTACGCTGGTGTTAGGAGTGTAAACCCCACTTCATGATGGGGAGGGGGAAGAACTTTGCTTTGCGGATCCCTGCACTCGGGAGAACTACTCCCCAGGCCTGGAGAAACCACATTCTTTGAGATTTTGGTGGGCAAGTAATTGCAGCACAGGTATTGGAGCCTACTTCATGAAAAATTCGTAAGACACTTTTAGAATGAAATGCAGCCCGAGAGATTTTCCTCTTTGTGCATTGACTCTAACTCTAGCAATTAGGGCTGTTTTGAAATAGTTTTTTTAGCTCCTTTGAAAACAGAGGGGTCCCTCCATCCCCTTGAAAAAAAGAGCCTGTGAACTTCAAGGAACGGGTGACCAGGTGTGGGCTGCAGGGGCCTTGGAGCAGTCATGTTGGCCACTCACAAAGAGGGACTGGACTCTGCAATCCGGCGCACAAAAGCTGTTCTATAGACTGCTTTTTGTTAAGTCCCCTTCCGCACCTCAGCTCAGGTTTGTTGTTCCTGTCCCTGCCAGGACTGCCACCCTCTGAGTCTCTAGAATAAGCCAGGCTCCCACCAGAGCGCAGAGTCCTCTCCAAAGGCCTCCCCCCTACCACCCACTGCCTGCCCTCTGTCCATGGAGTCTGAACTTGGTGATTCATGCCTACAAAGGCAGCCTCCAGCCTCAGAACATTGCAGGTGAGGGCAGGACCCGAGCCTCTCAGCCCATCCAGGCCGCAGCAGAGAAACCAGTTGGGTGAGCCCCAAGTCCCTCCTGTGAAGTGCTGGTCTCTGGTGTTTTGGTTTCAGGTTTTTCTTTTGTTCTCAGAATCTGTTTTCATGAGAAGCAAGAGCACAAACAAAAACAAAAGATGAGTTCTTGTGGGAATACTCCCTAACAAGTCTGCTTCTGCCTGGGGTTTGCATCAGCGGTTTGTTTATTTTTTATTTTTTTAAGTGTGAGTGACTCACCATCCTTACACTTGAGGGGAGCGTGCTATGGAAAAACTAAAGATTGATTTTTGTTTTTAGAAAGGACAAAGTACAATATTGGGTAGCTGATGGTTGGGACAGTTTCAACAGTAGACGCTTCCAGGAAAGCCCTTTGGTAACCAAACTGAGGTAAAAGTCAAGACTTGATAGCACGGTTGTTTGTATTTTTATTTAAAAGCTAAAAGCCTGCAGCAACTTTAAGTGACATAAGAATTTAGCTTCTGGCCAGAGTTTGAAAGAGATTATCTTTGCTGAAATCATCCCTTCAGTGGCAACTTGCCATGGAGAAAAATATCTGCGTTACTAGCTTTTCTAAACATAGCAACCTCTTCTTAAATAGCAAACGAACACAATGAGAAAAATGGGCTTTCCATCAGGGAAAGAAACCCTCCCAGTCCAATCCCTTCCTGCTCCATGCCCTGGAAAAAAAAAATTCTCTTTTAAACCCTTACCTACACTTAGAAACATGGAACACCAAAGCTTTCCTTTTTCCTTGATGATTGTCTAAAGATTTAATAATTGACAATTAAGATGCATATTTCAAGATAACAGCGAAAAACCCACATCACTGTTCCTGATTTGCTCTTTTATCTGTGTGTATGTGTGCCTCTGTGTGCGTGTTCCTGATTTGTTTTCTCTCTCTCTCTCTCTCTCTCTCTCTCTCTCTCTCTCTCTCTCTCGCGCGCGTTTTGCTTTTTGAGTGTGTGTGTGTGTGTGTGTGTGCGCGCGCGCGCGCGCGTACAGAGGTCAGAGGTCGATGTTCCATGTCTTTCTCAACTTCTTTTTTTGAGACAGGATCTCTCACTGAGCCTGGAACACTTGACTCAACTAGGTTGACTGGCCAACAGGCACCAGGGATCCTCCTGTCTCTGTCTTCCTAGGGCTGGCATTATAACCATCATACCTGTGTGTGCTATGGAGGTGAACTCAGGTCTGCATCCTTGAGCAAGCCCTTCCCTGACTGAGACACACACACACACACACACACACACACACACACACACACACACACACACACACCCAGTGCCCCACTTTGCTCTTCTAAGCTTGTGGTAGCTCATTATTATTTTGTTTTCAATGTTTTGGGTAGAATTCTTCATTGTAAGAGCAGGTTTTATGTGAACACGGTGTGTTTTGAATCCTTCCTGATACCCCTCTCCTTTTCTTGGAAAGATGGCTTCTCCTCGAGACACACATGTGATCACTAGACAGAAGTTTAAAAGTTGAGAAGCTTGCCCAGCAGCTGCCAGGGTTGTGTCTCATTAACTTGGTGGTCCACCCTTCTGATGGTCTTGCATGGCAGAGCTCCCTCTGTTTGGAGTCCCCAGCTTTCTGTTCTTCCCTCACAGGCTACAGTCATGTTTAATTTAGAATCCAGGCTCCTTTGGCAAATTAGCAATTAGAACAATTTTGTGGGAATATGTATATGTGTCATTAGTGTTTCTGCAAATTAATAGCAAGGGCAGAGGTCAGGCAGAAATTTTCCACTTGACTGAAGCCCTTCCATTGAGACTTGGCACTTGGGTTTGGAATGGCCGCAGCTGCTCCCAGACACCCTTTTCCTCTAGGAACTGTCTTTTAATTAGTTTACCTCATAGCCATCATTACAAATATTACTGTCTCCCCTCCCTGAAATAAAATTACTGTTTCTACAAAATATTCCAGCGACATTGTGCACCACTGCACATTGATGGTGGGGTCAGTCGAATACACCATTTAATCATTAGATCACCTCCATCCGCATCTCCTAATTAGAGTCCTTACAATACATTTTTATCTGGTAATTAGCTGAGATTGGCTGCTTCCTCTGTGGCTTATTAGAGACAGCCCAGCAGTGGGTGTGAATCATGGTGTCATTTGTCAAGCCTGGTAAACCTCTGACTTTGAGCTCAGTGTTTATTTCCAGTTCCTACCTACATTCAAAAGCATCCAGAAAATCCAGCCTGCATTACCCTCTTCCTGGACTGGGCGAGCCTGGGGGGATCTATCTTTTCACTGTTGCTGTCTCCAGTAGAACTGGTCCAAGTATTGAGCCCCTTGTCAAAGCTGCCAGAGTCGAATCTATGCACATCTGATGGCATGTCTCTGTGTGGGGGTTCATCAGTTCTTTTAAGATCTGGGCACTCAAAAAGATGGGCTTGTACCTGTTGAATGGTGATATAGGACTTGCTGCACTTTCTCACAAACTGGAAGGAATCATGTGGACTCTCATGTTCAACATCATTGTCGTTGTTTGTTTGAGAAAGTCGGGCTGTATAGGGTAATGTTCTTAGGCTAAAAGGAGAAGTCAAGAAGTAGGGTGAGGCCTCAGAGTTGTTGTCTGGGTTTTTTGTCTGCTTTCGTCATTAAGCTCCCCAAGGACAGAAGTGATGTGGTTTAGTCCTACTTTCAGGCCTTTAGAAGTTCTTGGCAATATTTATTGTCATTTGTAAGCAAGAGTAAAAGCTGTTCGTGGAAGCTCTCCCAAAAGCAAACATAACAGAGAATAGGAAAGGCCATAGCGTTGATGTGAGACATGAGCTGAGCATTAAGTAGAGGGTACAGAGGCTGTAGAGCCAGACAAGGATATGGTTTGACTTGGGGTCTGGGGAAGGATATGGGCAAGCTTCTCTTTCGTTCTCTATAAAACCCGAGCAATTTGTAGAGGCATGTGAATGAAATGAAACCTCTCAGGGCAAGAGTTTCAGGGCATGTATTTTTGTAAATGATACCCATGGCTTTCCGAAGTCTCTTCATGTTTAGGCTTTACAGCAGCCGAATGATGTATTTGGGTTCTTTAGACACTAATTTTCTTGACATACACACACCCCTTTGGCTGATGCTAATACATACAGTTCCTGGACTTGGGCACTTGTTAAGGCTTGAGGGAAAGAAGAGGTCATTCGGCCTTTGCTCTTCTCCATTGGCATCTTGCTCCGCCCTGTCCCTGGCCTCTGCTCTGAACTCTTAGCACTTGGTTTGCCAATGTGTGTCATGGTCACCTTTCTAGCACCATTGGGAAGGCAGCTTACCACACTGCCCCCGGTTGCTGAAGGACAGCAAGTGTCTGCTCTCTCCCCAGTTTGCTGTTCTTAGGTACTGGGGGCTTGTGGTATGCTGAGTCAGTATTTCAGACTGAGAATAGGAAAGCAGAGCTGAAAGCTCACAGCCCACTGTTTAGCTCGGGGCACTAAATTTGGGTTTTTCTGTTACTGTTCCTTTCATGATAGCAGCTCGTTCCTTTTTCTTTCTTCCCTTGGAAGTTAGTGCACAGGGGAGATTTTCGTGGTCTCTTTCATTCCTAGTGTGTGAATTAAGATTGAGTCTTCCCAATACACTGGAGCAAAGGACACACCTTCAATACCATCCATAAATAATACTTGTGTTTAATGTTGAAACTGACAATGACAAAATAGACATTACGGTGACTGATTTGAAATGTGGTGTGATAAAGTGTTGCCAAGTAAGAGTGTACTTTGTAGAAGTTTCTTGGGTTTGGGAGAGGTCCTCTTGAGTATTTGATACCTGCACCACCATGATGAAAAACACTAGGTTCTTATGCATTTTCAAACTCTTCCTGTCCCAGCCAGTTTTGGAGAAGGCTCATCCCTCCCAGGCGTGTAAGAATCATAAGAAAGGACATAGTGGAATAGAAGGAAAAAGGCTACTCACAAATGCTGCTCTGCACTGCTTCAGATAAGACTCACTTCCATAGCTGGACTGTTTAAAACTTTAAAAAGCAACCAAGTGCTACAACTTCATAGGCATAGACGTGGGCCTCCTGAGTAAGTGCCACTGTTGAGCAGGAGCCACAGGTCCATCACGCACAGTCCCGCGGTCTGTTCAGTTTCACGATGGACTCGAGTCTCGTCACTTCTTGCCGGTCTCTGGAGGCTCAGAGCCCTAAGTGGCCACTCAGTCAATCTGTTGCAATTTTAGGAGGGAAAAGAAATCGGGCGACGACAGAGCTTTCCAGTTGTGGTGGTACATTGCTGAGCATCACACAGAACGAGCCAGCTTTACACCACTGTGGCCCAGCTGGTGTTCCTTCAGTCCCCATCCTCCATGTCATGCAAAGGAGAATACCTTTCTTTAATTGGAAGTGAATCCTCTGTAAACACACCAATGTAGAGAGGTAACCCTTGCCAGGTGTCCGCCCATCTTTCCTGTGGGACAGAGAGGCTTTCTTGGTTGCGTGAGTTTCTGTTGTTGTTTAGCTTGTTTGGGTTTTGCTTTTCTCAAGTCCTTCTAACCAATACTGTTCTCCTCACAGTTGAATCTGGTATCAAGTGTCACCCTCTCCAAGTCCGCATCGGAGGCTTCTCCACAGAGCTTACCTCATACTCCAACGACCCCAACGGCCCCGTTAACTCCCGTCACCCAAGGCCCCTCTGTCATCACCACCACCAGCATGCACACGGTGGGACCGATCCGCAGGCGGTACTCAGACAAATACAACGTGCCCATTTCTTCAGGTAGCCGCCCTCTCTTTGCCAGGGGCAGCATGGGGGATCTGCAGTTCGTGTTGATGAGCCCCTTTTTAAAAAGTGATCATTAATAGGACGGTGATTCTTATATATTTAGCAGATATTGCGCAGAACCAAGAATTTTATAAGAACGCGGAAGTTAGACCACCATTTACATATGCATCTTTAATTAGGCAGGTAAGTAAATAACACAGACCATGAAATGCTATCGAAAGGTGTACGTGGGTATATTATATTGATGAAGTAGGTTTAAAACCACTTAGTATGCAAGCATGCTAAAACCTTTTCTATAAGGTTTTTTAAAACTGCAATATATAACATAATTGCTTTTGATTAAGTATTACAATACGATGTGATTATTAGGGAATTCATTTCACACAACAGTGAGAATGAGGCTGTTTAAAGATGGCAAGTCAATTATCACAAAGCTACAGTAATCTCTGATCCCTAGAATTAATCTGAGCTCTAAATAATTACTGAGCTTTAATCAGCTAGTGAAATGTTTTGCATTTCTCTTTGATTCTGCTTTATGAATGACTAATAAATTAATATTTCTGTACGGAAACAGAAATAAAAACTCCAAACAATTAGATAATTCCATTTCGAGTTTTGCTATTGAACTGTTTAAATACAACCATTAATCTTCGATCATTTTTGTGAAACCTGTCTGAGGAATTTGCTCCAGATTCCAGTTTGTTTGGGTTTTTATTTATTTATTTTTTCTACATTCTCATGAACAGTCAAATGCTTCTGCCAGCTGGGTCATCAATTACCTTCTTTGGATCCTTTTTTCTTGCTTCGCAGGCCATTCTCGAATCTCCCGAAAAGCAGCTAACACTAAACGAAATCTATAACTGGTTCACACGAATGTTTGCTTACTTCCGACGCAATGCAGCCACGTGGAAGGTAGGCTTTGCAGACTTGCATTTGACCTTGATAGAACACAGGTTCTAATGGAGCAAATTCAGTTACTGGGCGGCGAGAATATTCCATCTGCACTGGGAGCGTGCCAGGGAGAAGGGTTTTGTTGTGGGTGAAATGCTCAAATGGAAGAGGCAGTCCTCCTCCCCTGCCCCCTGCAAGAGAGGTGTGGATAGGTCAGCTGGAGAATTCTTGGTTAGGGAAAGGAGATGACACTGTGGCCCTGAGCTCTGAGGTTGGCCTGACTGCTTACACAAGCCACATGTCATTCACTAGAAGGTAATTTTCAGTCATTTACAGGGGTGCGTTTAAGAACCCAGAGACACAGCCAAACTGAGTAAGATCCTTCAGTGGTTAGATCGTAGCTCATCAACCCCACAGGTAGAGGGACCTATGCAACCCATGCACTCCCAGTAAAAAGGGTGATTGCTGAAGAATGCAAGGATTCCCGTTCAGGGGCTCATGGTTACCCTGAGGAAGAAAGGTATTTTCACAACTATGTAGTATGACACCATTTGCCATGGAACAGGTCAAATTCCACAGCTCCGCTAGATAACCCGCTGAAATGCTTGGAGTCTCCTCTAGGTTCAGTGGTATTTAGTCCGTATGTTCCATTAAGCCTTCCTGGGTAGGCATGGAGGTGCATGCCAATAATCCAGCATTCGAGAAGTGTGAAGACTTGAGAGTTCAAGGCCAGGCTGGGCTGCACAAATAGCCTTCACATCGTTCTTCAGCTTCCTACTTTTAATTTATTACTCTCTGCCAAGTAGATCTTTTTAGTACCACCTAGTATTTAGGCTTTGTCCATATCCGTAATTTCAACAGGTGCTATTATAGGATACAACTTCCTTAATTTAATAGGAAGAAACCTGTTTTGGTTTTCTCGAATTCTATAAGAAAATGAGTTTAGGCACAGAATTAATTCAATAGCCACATGGGGGCTGACGGGAAACTGATCTTAGCCTCTTTCCCAGCCTGCCTCAGGAGATAAAATACAAAGGCTCTTTAGCTACAAATCTTTTAAAAATTTAAGAAGTAGAAGCGTGAAGTAGGCATTTTCTTCAAATTGCTTTTTATAAATACCAAATGATCACATTTAAAAATAATTGCCAGTTGTGACTATGAATTTCAACTTACATCTCACTTTTTCGGCTTTGCAAAGCCAAGACAGAAGTGTCACTAATATAGTCTTACAGAAGTCCCCAATGACTCATCAATACAGATCATTTTCTCTCTGTGTCCTTACTGGGACAATGATCTAAAGGCCAAAATACAACAATGTCATTCGTCTTGTCTTAGTCTTTAAAAAAAAAAAAAAGCTCTTGATTTTTTCGTTCCTTTCTGTTTTAATATATAGCCCTCAAAATCATACAGTCATTCTTTTATCAGAAATGGCCCCTGGGGTCTTTCAGTTTTCGTGCATTTTGATGCGTAGGTAAGATTTCGAGCAGTGACGGATGCTGCCTTGTTCCCCGGTTCCCCGGCTGTCTCTCGCATGTGTGTCCATGTGCGATTTTGAAAGGAAACTGGCTTTATTTACTTCTGTCTCCTCCACGCAGTAGGAGGAAATAATTCCCCATGAAATGTAAAGAAGAAGTTATTTCCTTAAAATAGGTTACATTTACATTTACGTTTTGTTGTTAAGGAACTCATCACAAAGTTTTTCAATCAAGGATATTGATTAGTCATGTTGGTATCACGAATCTACTTCCAGCTGTACTCACACGCCCGCTCCCCCCCCCATCTCCTTCCATGGATCCCACTGGTGCACACATCATCACATTCGTAATAAAATCTGTCCTGTTATCCTCCCAGTACTGTATCACAGAGAAGAGTAACTTTTAGGTAACCTGAATCCTCTTAGTCACCAATTATCATTGTCCAGAAATCTGAAAGACCTCTCAGAGTTTCAAGATTTGCCACCAAGAGAGCAAATTACTGTAGGAGAAGAGTGTAGCTTGTCTGAACAATAGCAATGCCGGGATTAAATGAGGGCTTCTGTATAAGGTGCCCAAAGCTCAGTAGATGTGTCAGCTTCCTCTGCCCGCACGGAGCCACTTATTCTCTATGAGAAAAGCTGATACAAGTCCATCATGCAGTCTGGATCAGGAAGTCAGCCAGGCAGGACTGAAGTGTATCCAGTTTGGTTATCTCGTCAGGGTTGTGGATTTTCCTGGAAACAGGAGACTTGGAAAGCTCTTCACACTTGAATTGAGAACATCCTTTTTGTTAGATGTGAAGGATCCCACTTAGCAAGGGCCAACAATGACTTTTAAATGTAGAAACCCAACTGCAAAAACATCATCATTTTGCCATTGAGAGTCCTACTTGAATGTTCTTGGCATTTGCTCAATTACTTAAAATGGTTCCTATGAGTAATTACCCATGTTCATACACACTCTGGAAGGTAAGGCTTAGGTTTGATGGTCGAGACTGATCCCTTGTGCTGAGGTTGCCCCCAATCATCTTGGCTGCACACAGTGGCGGTACTCTCAGTGGTAAAATCCTGTTTAGAACTTCCCTTAATAAAGCCTAGGCATGGTTTCTAAGCCAGGTGTTGCTGTGTATTTAAGAGTGTTCACTTTTCATGATTTAAAAATAAATACCCTTCTATGAATCCCACATAGATGTGTCTGTAAAGAATAGTTTTTATACTTTATACAGCTCCTGATTTTGACATCGTTGGGGCTTGCATGCATATTTACCAATATATCTTCTGGTCACATGGTACCAGAAATTAGGCTTCAATGCCAGAATACCATTCATTCATAATTTGGGGTTTTTTTCCCCTCAGAAAAGACACTCAAAAGAAGGTCTTCCACAGGGAGGGGTGGGGGAGAGGGTGGTGGTGGCTACAGCTCTGGGCGATGATTTTACAGATTGGGGGTGGGGGCTGAATGTACTGCTGTGGGTTTTTTTTTGAGTCTTTTCTTATAGAAAAAAAAACATGTCAATGTTCTCTCTTTTATACTTGCTGCAGAATGCAGTGCGTCATAATCTTAGTCTTCACAAGTGTTTTGTGCGAGTAGAGAACGTTAAAGGGGCAGTATGGACAGTGGATGAAGTAGAGTTCCAAAAACGGAGGCCACAAAAGATCAGCGGGTACGTCCGCCATGTTTGAACTTCTTAGCCCAGCTCGGATTGTGCTAACAAGCGTACTGTTAGAGGCTGCTAGGCGGCGTCAGCCCAAAGAACTGGTTTTCATGTCGTCGTCTCAGTTAAGGGAAACGAAAGAGCATTTCATCCCTCCTGTCTCGTGTGCCCACCGGTCCCCCTGCCCCTGCTTGCTGGTCTCTGTTACATCCCATGCTAGTAGCTTTTAGGCGGCGATGCATTATTAACCCTCACAAGCCATTTGCTTATGCTTATTGCATTTTATTTTCTTTTCCCTGTCCCCTGTATTGGATGTCTGTCCCGCCCGCCCCCGACCCCGCCTCCCTCTGTTGCCACTCCATCCCCTTCGCTGCTGCTCCTATCCCAGGGTGCCATTCGCACCAACCTCTCACTGCATAAGTGCTTTATCAGAGTAGAGGATGAGTGTGGGTCCTTTTGGACAGTTGAGGATGAAGAGTTTAGACGTGGCCGCCATATTCAACGAGGCCGTCCTCGCAAATACTGCCCCGGTGAAAACTCTGACGAGCTTGGCGCACAGTAAGAGCCTTTACTTGCTTTGTTCTTTTGTTTCTGCTGTTGCTTTGGCTTTGCATGGTTGACTCATCCCATGTGGTATGACATTTCACCCCAGAGCAGTGCCACAGCTTTCTGCAACAGAGACTTTTAAACGGTGGTGTCGATCCGACCATGGACCTCGCTCGTTTCTCTTTGGAACGCCAGTGCCTAGAACAGTGCTTTAAAAAAAAATTGTCTTTAATGCCAATGATTGACTGTATTTCGATTCAGCAGCTTACGGGGGGCCCTCAAAGCTAGATATTGCCTGTGTTACCCACAATCCCTGCAAGTGAAAGGAAACGATGGTTACAGTATATAATAGCTGGTGGGATATTTTTTTTTCCTATGTGAACACTGAAGCCATAGTAATTATGAACAACTAGAAATGTACCTGGCAAGCTAGACATAAGGGTGTGCCTGTAATGACAGCCCCTCCATACACCCCCCCCCTCCGGAGGCTGAGGCAGGAGGGCTGCACATTCCACTACCCACCTGGACTTTGTCAAGAGACTCTGTCTCCAAAACTGAAAACCAAATTGTCCCAAGCACAGGGAAAAGATTGATAATGTCATTCCCCTCAAAGTCTGTTGATAAATGAATGTCATTACCTACTGGAAGCCACACTTCCCCTCAGTATGTCCAGTGTAATTTTGTAGTGTTTTTTTTTTTTTTTTTTATTTTAACTAGAGCAGGGATATTTTTCTTTAAAAAAAAAAAAAAAAAAAAGAAGGTATCTTGGCTTCTTTTACCTAGTCAACAGAAACAACACCAAATTAGACTGATTTCCCAGACTGGGCTGGGCAGGAAAGACAACCACTGGAACTCTTGCTTTACAAAGTAGGAATAGTGGTGCCGTTCCTCCAGTGGCCAGGGTCAAGTTCAGCTAAGAGTGAAGCCTCTGAGCAGAGGCTCCTCGTGCAGTCCCAGGCAGCCTGCCCTTGTGCCAGGCTCTCCCCTTCCTGCTGGAGTCTGGGCAGCAACTGACCCTTTGCGGACCGGCCTCCGAGGGAAATGCCCATGTGTTATAATCTCAGACAGCTTCCCCAGGGTGGACAGCCAGGTTCATCCCCAGAGGTCTTCACCCAGACCAACCCCGAGAAACAGATAGGCTTGAACTTCCCTTCGGTTTGGTGACTGGGAGGGGAACAGAGTTTCCAACGTGGAAAGGCTGCCAGCAAACTTAAAAACAGAACTTAGCGAGGCCCCCTGGGTGGATTGTGTTTAACTTGGCGTTTTCTGTCTCTTTCTTACGCAGTAACCCTTCCCTTATTAAAAACATGCAGAGCAGCCACGCCTACTGCACCCCCCTCAATGCAGCTCTCCAGGTAAGATTAACGGCCATCCCCAATCCGCAGCACAGGCGCGGGGCTCCCCCACTCATTTCAAAATATATTAGCCTCGCTCTAATTAGATATTAAATTTTAATTCCGTTAAACTTTTTTCTTAAGTGCACAAAGCCTCGTTCTCCCCGGAGGCAAACACATTGGACTGCTTCAGCATTAGCAGGATGCTCAGCATTTTGAATATTGTGGCAAAAAAAAAAAATTAAAAGTTCACTTATTAATATTTATCAGCAGTATCATAATTTCCATCCTCTTATTTCAGAATTTCACTTGAGGCAAAAATACCACAAGTGTAATTACTCTAGCACAGCTATTAATGTGCTGGATGATAGGCCACCATGTCACATGACCTTCCATTGTTCACAGGTTTAAAGAGAAAGCGAGGCTTTATTAAAGTCCATTTCAACACCTTTTCTTTCTGTGGGAGTGGGGTCTGGGTTTGTTTCCTCTTGTGTAAGTCAACTGTTTCAACAGCAGAAAGCTGAAGGAAAGGAGATGTTTCCAACCAGTTGTTCAGGCAAACCTTACACAGAATGTTTGTTTCCTACTGACAAGTAAGTCCTAGAGTACCTCAGTGAGGGTCCTAGAAGGTGCGTGCCCTAGGTGGGAGTGACGAGAGGGAAAATCTGTGTGTCTAGCCAGTCTTAAGTTTCTTGTTCCTCACAGTTGCCACACCACCAAGTTATTTCTAAAATTAATAGTAGCTGGTATCACTTCTTTTAAATACCTAAAACACCTTTCAAATACCTAAATACCTAATGCCATACTCAGATCTCCCTTAAGAGCTCAGAGGTAGCCAGGATCCTTGTAGTCATTGTGTCTGTTTAGGAAGACATGCCCAAAAGAATCTTGCAACCTTTCTATCACATAGGCTACAGACAAACCTCACTTATTGCACACTCCGAACACTGTTCAGTGTGAATAGTGTAGCACCCCAAAATCGGTTGTTGGATTCTGTGATGTCTTGGAAATGTTACGGTCCTTCAGAAAAGCCTCAGTGAAGGCAGAAATAGAGAAACAAATGGCCCAAAAGGGATGCCAGTGGAAGAAGGCTTGGAACACGTGGCATTATGGGAACTGGAGGAGGGAGGAGGAGGCATTGACAGCAGCCTGATTCTCACCACTTGCTAAACAAATATTGACTGAGCCCATATTCTGCGTGCCACAGGCCTGTCTTCCCAGCTCACCCGCAGCACCCTAAGGCTCTTCGTGGATAATGTGCCCCGACACAGTTCAAGGCAGGCCCACTGAACTGAGCATCTCAGTGATTCTATTTATTTCTTTCTAGCCTGCCTAAATTTACCAGGAGAAACTACTTTCTGCTTTTCTCTTAATTACTCGTAGTTGACGTAGTAACTTTAGAAGAGTAAATGAAAGCCCGCTTACCCGCTGCCTCTGTAAATACCATGCATTAGTAACTTATTTTCCCTGGAGTCTTGTGAAGTATGAATTTAAAGGCGGCTCTATCTGGAATGATATTAAAATTATAAGCACATTTTACATTCATGAGGCAGAAAAGGAAAAAAAAATATATAAGGATCCTCGTCCTTTGGATTCCCTTAACTATGTGACTAATTTCAATTAGCGTGCCTTATCGTTACAGACGCGTTCACACTTCATCTCCGAGACCTTTGTTTTTGTACCCTCTGCACACTTGCGTGTTTCCCCTGCTCACCCGAAACTGTCCTGCAGCTTTCCAGGAACACTTTAAGGAGTGTCTCCTCTGCTCCTCCTCTTGAATTTGGATTCCCCATCAGTAGACAGCCAATCATACAAGACAGCTTCCTGCCATGCACATTAAATAAAGAGCCCACCAGCAGGCCTTCCTTTCCATTATCGCCCACTTCCATTTTTCAAGGCGAGTAAAAATAACAGTGCAACAATATCCTTAAAAAAAAAATTACTAGAGCGACATAACGGCATGATATACAATTTATAAAATAGGACAGCAGAATCCACTACAGAAATAAAACATGGGGCTCGGGACAGATTGCATTATGCTCTGAAAAACTGAAGTAACTACGGGTAACCGTAAAGCTTCATATTTATAGACTGCCTTTTCCCCGGGGAACGCAGAGCAGTTAACGTTCCAGAAGCCGTGGTACTTACGGACTCGTGTGCCATCACTTAAAAACCTTTGTGTTTCTGGCAGAGGTGCCGGTTTGATATGAAGCCACACACTGTGCCCAGGATCATTTATATAATTAAGTCCATTATAAACATTGTGATACATCTGCTCCTAAGAGCATCAGCTACAGGAAGGACCTGTTAGAAGGTGATAATTTGTGGGTTGCTCTGATCCTTCTTCACTCCGCAAAGGACTATTCAAGAGGCATAGTGGTGGGCCAGGCCCCAGGATCTTACTGTAGCCCAGTGGCTAGGGTTTTGTTTAAAGGAACAAGACTCTGTGCTTACATTGTGTCTGAGAGTTAAGGGACCAAGACGACAAGGTCTTGCCACTGGGTGACTTTCGTCACTGCAGCTGCTGGGCCTCTTCCTGCGATCCACAATCCTTTGTCAATCAGAAGTTGCTTTCGCCCATAATACTTTGCGAATAAAGAAGAGTAAACGGATACTCATCTTAACAGACTGTATCTGTTTCCATGGTTTTCACTTCTCAGTTTAGGGCTTCGGGATCCAATAAAATATCAAGGTAGCAATGGCCCCAGCTTCGTTCCCATCCTGACCATGCAACGCTGTCCAGTGAGAGCAGATCCCACGGGGTACTTGCAGTGAGAGGGCCGCCTGTTAGTCAGTTGACAGGCAAGGCAGAACTGACATGGCAGGGAAGTGTGGCCGCTGTGTGGTCTCACATAAGGCAGCTGAAGGTGGCAGCCCAGCTGCAGCTGGCAGTGATGTTACTCTGCCAACTGTACTGCCCAGAAAGAGTAGAAATGTTTTATTGCAGTTATAAAAGATGCATCCAGAAAGTGCTGGATACCAACTGATTATCTGGTGAACCGCAGAAGAAGTCATAAGAAACTTGCCCTCCTCCCTTTACTTTCCAAAAGGGAGCAGGTAATTCCGCTGGGGAAAGAGGGAGGGAGACACCGGGTTATATCCAGGGAGCAAGAGCGCAACCGACTCACAGGCAGACTCACTGCAGCCCGGCTCCGCTCCTGGTCTCCCTTTGTTCCTGGCTCATACCTTCTCTTTGGTGCCAGCTTTTCTAGAATAGTTAGGGCTCTCACATGGTGGGCCAACTGAAGCCACTCTGCCAGATTGTCTCGTGATCGTACTTTCTCTCATTAGAATGGAAAACCAGGCATAGTGTAGTCTGCGAGAAGACAATTTTGATAAATCTTCATCTAATTACAGCTGCCTCTTTTCCCAAGCCTGTCCTCCTGAATAATAAAAGGAAAAGTCACGGGGGCACACTTCCTACCCAGGGGAAACAAATGGGGCTCCTTCAGTCCGGTGGGTTTTTTTGTTTTGTTTTGTTTTTTGACAACTGTCCACATTGCAGACAGGGTGGCCATTATAGTTACATTTGGTATGACAGGAAAGAACAGTAGTCTACCAGACTTTAGTTTGGGGTGGAGTAGACTTTTTTGGAGAGGTGGTAGTCCTTTCTATACTCTTTTTTGTGCTGACACTCATTTGGAATGACTTTGTCACCTTTAATATCGATATACTTAGTTGTAAAGGGAATAAGATTTAGTCTTTCTTTTTGCTAGAGAGTCTTCTTCACTCCCAAAGTCCTCCGTGATTGGTCTGAGGCTGAGGGATGTGATGTTACCTTCATCTGGTTATGTCAGCCTTCACTAAGCAGGTTCAGAAATCATTAAAACGGGAATGATAGGAGAGAAAAAATGGATTCCAGTTCTATAATCTCTTCCTTTCCTATGGGTGTTTATGGAAGTTCTCATAAATTTGAGCCATGTGGCCATATAATCTGATCAAATCTTGGATATCCAATAGTGGAGTCATCAAAATGGATAAAGAAATGAAAATTCCATTATATTTCACTATGATCTAGAAATATTCAGTTCTTCTTGAAAAAAAAAAAAAAGACATTGGATATACACTTCATATTAGATACTTTTGTCTAAACCATACGACTCCACAAGGCAGGACCCAGCAGGTGACTTCACCCATGGACTCTTCGGTGCCCATATAGCTTATCCAAATGAAGCCCACAGCTCCTGAAGCAAAATCCTACCGCTCCTGGAAATTGTCAGCGGTGATCCAGTGAACTTGAACTGACGGCTGTCGGACACACCACTCCTTGCTAACAGAGCCTTCTTGTCTTGCTCCTTCTCCCATTTCCTTTGGTTTCTTTTGCCCAATGCAGGCTTCCATGGCTGAGAATAGTATACCTCTGTACACTACCGCTTCCATGGGCAACCCCACTCTGGGCAACCTGGCCAGTGCCATCCGGGAGGAGCTGAACGGGACCATGGAGCATGCCAACAGTCACGAGAGCGACAGTAGTCCGGGCAGATCCCCTCTGCAAGCTGTGTGAGTACTGTCTCCCCAAGCCCCGCGTCGCCTGACCCCAGCCTCCCTGCTAAAGGCTCCAGCAAGCTCTTCCCTGGCCCTTCCCTCATTTCTGATTTCTTAAGAGCCTAGTGTCGCTTGTTAGTGCCAAAAAGGACTAGTTAGCGTAACTCTCTCGTAAAAGCAATCGGCTCCATCCACTGTGAGTGCACGCAGCAAGAGAATGAGAAGTTTCCTTCGCTTTGTGTCTCAGACCCTTATTTAAGTCGCACTGTGATTTTTCTCCTAAAATCAGTACACACCTCTTTGAGAAAGCTCATGGTGTGTTCAACTTCCGGGCCAGCCGGACCTAGTGAGGAAAGAGACGCTTGTTTACTTGGTTGTGCGCTAAGTTTAACCACTTGAGCTCAGCACCGCAGCATTATTACCAAGCATTAATGATGGCACAAATGAAAGGCGGCATGATTTATAGATTGCTCTTAAAATATCAAAAGGAAATTTAATAGGAGCATTACAGCAGCAGACGGCAGGATAATGAGCGCACATATAACTGAACGAAGCAATGGGCCATGGTTGCCTGGGCTGCATGTGAATGGCACCAAGACCACACAAGCCTCAGCCAAAGGCCAGCAGGTTGGGGTGCCACTTGGTGGTGGGTGAAGGTTGAAAATGACGGCCTCGGCCGTAGTTCCTAGGAAGGGTCCAGCAACAGAGAAGAACCCCTGTGATGCCAGGTGCTTGGGTGTGCAGAGACCCGGGCTGCTAATGGCAGCCTCCCTTTTCCAAAGAGAGTTTCTCCAAAACCATGGCCCACACTTGAAGGGACTAAACCAGTTCAGTGTTTCCAGGGCTGCCCGCTCCAAGAATAGGCCACTTGTCTGCACATTCTTTCTGGATTACTGACCGACATCTTATTTTAGGAAATTTGAGGGATGGGAACGGAAAATGTGACCTTTAACAAGGAGGGACGGAATGAACTGGCTTCCAGTGACAAGGGGGGGAAATGGTATCTGCCAGCGTAATGGGCAGATCTGAAATTTTGCTTTCTAGCGTTTGAATCCCGTGCCCCGGGTGCTTTAAAAGGGGTCTTTAGAGGCGAGAGTGATAGCTGTTAATTTGTCGGCATAGTCTAGGCCCGATGACACGCTAGCATTTTAGGAGAGAGTGTATTCTTCCCACTGTTGACACCAAATTTCATCTTCCCTAAAGCAAGCTGGTGTTTATGACTCTTCTGTTACCTTACCGATATTCACCGTCGTCGTTGGACATTTTATTTCAATATTCGAGAAGTTTAGAGCAACACTAAGTAGGCATATAAGCCACTCCAAGACATACCATTGAGCAAGAATATCAGAAGTTACCGAGTGGAGGGCACACTACTTTCTCACAGTCTGTTCAAACTCCAACGTGTAATCCATATTACTTTACTATTAGTGAGAAAAAAAGTAGATTTAAAAAAAAAAAGAAAAGAAAGGTCCATGGAGACAGGCCTGTCCATGATGGAAGTTCATTTGCTTAACAAGACTGCATGAACTGTAGATGTACCAAAAGAACTATATATTTTACAGCAGTCATCCTAATGTGTAACAAGGCAAAGGCTTCGACTGCATGAAAGGAGGAAAGAGAAAGGGCCCCCGCACAGCGCTATCAAAACATGACGCTCGCACATCAGGTTTCCGCCACGTGCCCTGTGGTGCTGCCCTGTGCCGACAGCAGCCTCACTGTGCTGCTCAGTGTCACAGCCAGTTAGTCTTGCTGACCCCGCGCTTCCATTAACTGAGTTCTGTAATGACAGAGATGGCATTCTTGTCCAGTGTGCATTACCCTGCTAGGATGCAAATTGTTTTTTAACTGTTCCAGTCTATTGGAATAAATCAAGCCATAAACTTTACAACAAGGCTCACAAGACACTGTTAGGACGCTGGTCTAGCACATGGGCAGCACTGTCGTACAGCTCTCTGCTCTTCACTTTGCTGTGACACAAACCACAAAGCGTTGCCTTTCACTTAAAAAAAGAAAAAAAAGGTAGAAGGTAGTCACATAATGATGGTTTGGGGACAGTGTACTTTCATTGTGGAGCTAAAGAGCCACCAGACCAAAGGCTCTGTGCTGGGTGTGCACCCTGAACAGGGACACAATGCCTTTAAACACTCGTTGGCTATAGTTAAAAACCCAGGTGTTCCCAGAATGGCTGTTGAAAAGGATTACTCAGATGTAAGGGGAACAGAGAGATGGTGTTTTGCTCCATTAGCCGTTGGGAGCCCTTTTGGAAATAGTAGGCCTGGTAGGGGGAGGCTGAAGAGGGGCATCTGTTGTGCAGCCCTGTTCTGTAGAGGGCACATGTGTATGTGCCCAGTGGGAGGGGAGCCTTTAGCAGTCTGAATCTTACGGGGAAGGCGGAAGAGGCCTTAGGGTCATACCTGGTGTAGGTTTTCAGGTCGTCACACAGGAGATCTAGTTGGTGGGATTTGTTGGCCATCCATTCTATGCTAAGCACTAGGATAAACCACTTAGCTTGTGTCAACATCATTTCCCGTGTTTGGGTGAGGTAAACACTCACTGAATGTTGGGGAGAACGAAAGAGTCTCTGGTGTTAGGAACTCTGGTTTGTGGGAGCCTTCCGTTTGCGGCTCTCATTGTTCGGGGCTGCATCTAGAAAACGATGATTTACAGTCATAAAGTAAGAACGTCATGTTAAGATGAGTCTGGTTTTTTCCCCAGGGCTTCCCATCCTTACCTCCAAGGCTTTGTGCAGTATCATCAGACTGCACCTTGCGAACCAGAGATTAAGTACTAAGTATGATAGCTTTTAAAAATGCACGCAGGAAAGTGTTACTCTGGAAAATAGCAGTTCAGCCTCAGTAACTAGTTTTAAAAAATGGTCTCTAAAGGGCAAATTCCTGTTGCTGGACATTACTAAGCCCACGTAGGCAGTGGCAATGCGGTGACTGTGAAGTCACAGTTCCCCCTATAGTGAACTCAGAAACAAACGTCCACCGTGATCGGTAATGCAGGGGGTGTGGGTCAGGGGAGCTGGGGCTGTACCGCACACCTGTGAGACCAGGAACTATTTTCTCAGAGTAACACTTGGGACACTGACATTGAGTCTCACTTGATAGCACCCCTCTGCAAATTAATATCCCCATAAATCAGGACAGCCATAAAGATGCTTTGGCCTCTGCTCCAACAATTCCATTCTTAGACATTTATCCCAAGGAGGTAAATCAACAGCAGGGGGAAGATTAATGGCTAGCAGTGGCTCACTGTCCTATGCAGACGCAGAAGGGAAAGAAGGCCGATACAGAGTGCCCGGGGGGGGGGGGGGGGGGGGGGCGTGCTGACTGACCAACAGACGGAACCGCACAGAACCAGAAGAACTGTCACGAAAAAGCCAACAAAATACAAAAAAGAGAGACAATAATTCCTGCTGTGGCTAAAGTATGTAATAATGTGCTCCCCCAAGGGAAGGGAGAGGCTAGGACTAACCCTGATCTGGGCTGACCACACAGGCATGTGACGTGTTCAGTGACACGGTGCCCCAAGCATGGAAGGACACAGCCCTCTTTGAAAGGTTTGATGTTTCTCTTGAAGTGAATATTTCTCATTCAGGAACTCTGCAAACCAGAGAGCCAGGCCTAGGCCTTATTTCAGAAACAAAAGATGAGCACAACTATTAAAAAATTGAAGTGGCTGGAGACCCACATAGAAAATATACCATGGGACTGTGGTTTGTTGTGCAAGTGGGTTTTAAGAATATGGGTATAATTGTTCAAAGCTATTTATCTGACATCTAGCCCCTCAGCTCCCTCTATGCCATGCTAATTTTAGTGTCAGTTGATTTTGAAGGTTCCTGTCTCCCAGGGCCGGCCTCTTGTTTGTTTTTAAATGGTTCCAGGGGCCTTTGGGGCTCCATACAGCATCAATTATTTAGGAAGTCAGCCATCCCCAGAACCACCTCTTATTACTAATACTTGATAATGTCCATTATAAGTCCCTCCCACTTGCAGCCGGTCTCAGAGATGGGCACATTTGAACTTGAATGGTTCTTTTACATATCAAAAGCCCCCCTGCAACAGAAAGTCCTTTGTATTTGTAAAAGATCAGTTGTAAATATGATTTACGAACAGCTTTTCACAGTTGTTATCAGAGTGGTTTTGTGTGATCATGCCAGCCCCCTTCAGATGAACCGAGCCCCAGTCCATAATGAGAAAGTTGGCAGCTCTCAAGGTAGCTAGAGTGTCCGGGTGGCGGCTACCAGCCGGGCCTCATGTTTTGCCTTGTTTACAGCTGACAGCGTTATTATTCTGATCGGGGCTCTGCTCTCTTATCATATTGTTGTGTTGAGCAAGCCTTTTCCTCTCCATTTGTGTTTCCTGGCAGGGCTTTTCTTGCCTTATTGACAGTTTGTAAAAATATGCATTAATTTGGAGCTTCAAGCATGTATCATGGTGTCTCTTTGCTGTGTTTGCTTGAAGTTGATTAATGATAGACCCTCGCTTGGGGTCGTCCTCTGGAGGGTTCTTTCACAGGTTCTGCATGTTAACTAGCCGAGCAGAACACACAGCAAGCCATGATTAGCCTGGCCAGCCTCCTGTGCTCAGTGGTCCCCATGAACCACTGCTCTATTACAGATTCCCATTTCACATAATTATTTGCAGGGTGGCATTCATCCACCCAGGATGTCGCTATGGGGCCTGTTATTTGGTACGCAAAAGTATGGTCCTGGGACCAGCGCCATGCCCTGGAAACTCTTAGAAATGCAGAGTCTGAGCTCCATACACTGCTCTGTCACAAGGTCCTTGGGTAAAATCGTGTGTCCTGAAAAGCAGGAGAAATGATTTCTGTACAGAATACTTCCTAAAACTTTGGACAGAAATGTCCAAAGGATCTTCTTTGCGCACCAATGCTATTACACTGAGCAGTACAGAAGCCCTTGTTCACATGTGCTCCCTAGACCCCTGGAACTGGACAACAGACATTATGTCATAGCAAGTTTCCCACCGTATTTGGAAAACACGTGGCCAGGGTTACTCTGCCTCTACTGGATATTGTCGCTGTGGCACGTGTCTTCTAGGTTGCTCCAACCCCGGTTGGGCATCAATCTGGATGCCCCTCTAAGTCTGTTCCTCTCTCTGTAGGCATCCCGTACACGTCAAAGAGGAACCCCTCGACCCTGAAGAAGCTGAAGGGCCTCTGTCCTTAGTGACAACAGCCAACCACAGTCCAGATTTCGACCATGACAGAGATTACGAAGATGAACCAGTAAATGAGGACATGGAGTGAACCTCTGGGCGGGCCGACCCCCGAGACCGAAGATTGGGGGGAGAAAAAAGCAAAACAAAACAAATCAAATAAAAACAAACCACGTCAAAAGTTAGCAGTGAAAGCGTTCTCCGCTTGTTGTCCAGTCTGGAGGATTTTCGCTACACTTTGACAACTCGGAAATGTGTTAACTCTTAGTGCCATCAAGAATCCCATTTGGGAGTATTTTTGATTTTTCTACTTTTTGTTGACAAAAGGGATTTGTACTCTGTGCATTGGACGGACCTGTTTGGTACTTGGGATTTTCCTCTTTGAGTCAACATCAGTGTTGTAAATTCGATAAACGGATTCACTTTTAGCAGCAGACTTTGAACTGCAGTTTTGTCCTGTCAAGGCCGACACCGAGGACACCCGACTGAGCTCGCGCACCTGTGCCGCAGACCAAGCCTTCGCCTGAATTCAAGATTCCAGTGGACGACCTGTTTGCACAGCACTGCATGTTGATATCACTGCCTTTACTCACTTTGGGTTTTTTTTGTTTGTTTGTTTTTTGTTTTTGTTTTTGTTTTTTGCTTCCAGTTGGGATGGGGAAGGCCTTTGTGTGTTTATTGGGGGGAGGGGTTAAAAATAATTATCCCAAACTTTTTAATGTATTGCTTTTTTTTTTTTTTTTTTTTTGCTTCTTCTATACCATTTTAAGTTCTGACCTCAGGCCTCCATTTGGGCCCACGGCCTCTTTGGAGGCTTCACGTTTTCTGTACCTTGTGATGAATGTTAATAGGTGTTTTTATTATACAAAGCTGAATGTCATTTCTCGTCTGTAGTTTTCTGGCACTCATTCCATTTTCCTATAGACATCACCATGTTTCTCTCAAGTTTCAAAAAACAAAACAAAACATTCCGTTTTGGTCTTTTTTCCGAAAAAAAAAAAAAAATCCCAAAGGCTGCACCTTACACCTGAAGGTCCTCTCACAGGGACATGATGTCCTGCCAGAAAGAGAGTGAAGGACAGAACAAGAGAGAGAAACACACACGCACACATTCTAGGAACATAACAGATTCCTTTCACAAAAGCAGTATTGGGGGGACGGGGATGGGAATGCTTGAGATTTTCCTTTTATTTTCATAGTGCCCACCATTGTGAGTAACTGCCACCACATTCTCTCAGCATCAGGAAACACAGCCAAGAGAGACCCTGAAAAGAGTAAACAATCATTCATAATTAGACTGGTATGACGGCCATGGCAGGCGCTCCCCTGTATCATGAAGTGGCCAGGACCGCAGACTCTGGGAGGTCCTTACCAGCATGGGTTGCTTTGTTTGCAAGATGACCAAAAAGCCAGCTGCCCTAACTAACTTTACTCAGCATGGGGACAGCACTGAGTTCGTCCATCAGTTCAGACCTGCTTGGTGGCAGCGGCGGTGTTCGTCTGTTTTAATGCAAATGAGACTTCACATTGAACTTGTGACGGGAGAGAATGAGGACTGAGCTGGGCAGATGCTGATGTTCCGGTTTCCAGTGTGCAAAGCCGGTCCTGCAGTTCAGTCTGCGCTGGGATAGGATCACACCATCCATCCCAGGAGCACAGACTAAACAGATGACCCCAGTAGACAGACGGAGGCTCCTGGGACCAGGGCCCTCAGAACGCTATGGCTCTAGGTCAGTATACCCTCAGCCCTTCAAAACCCCCCCACACTTCGATCTACACCCACTTCCCTGGCATTTATTTATCTAGGGCTGTAGCTTTTGGTTGGGTTTAGTTTGAGAGCCTTTTGGAGCTTAATTTATATACTTTGTACTTTTTATTTCTAAAATTACCAAAGATATTATGCAAAGGTAAATTATTTTCTTTTATGCTTTATCTGATGAAGCCAAATATCCTCTTATTGTTGATCAAAGGAGGCAGAAGGGTTCAGAGGCAAATGATGAGGTCCAGGCTGTTTGCCAGCCTAAGGGAGATAATCTGCCCCCCCCCCCAACAGCATTCATTTAGCAGACTAAGTAGGCAATGGAACCAAAGTTTTTTACTTTTTTCTATTTTTTTTCCTTTTTCTTTCCTGTACCTGTACAGAGACCAAAACTAACTCCTAAAAGGAGAAAATACGGGGCTACTGCAGAGAAAAACAAACAGGAAAACAGTATTATAGCTCCTATGGAAAGATTGGGGTACCATCTCAAAGCAAAAGAAATGAATGTATGATACTGAAAATTAGTGTAGAAATCAAGGAGACACTTAGGATGAATTCAGAGAGAACAGAAAAGTGTCCGACTGCACCAGGCCACTTCTAGAATAAAGAGATTTTTTTTAGAACACTCGTATGCCACTTTTATTTAAGGGCTGTGCTGTGATCGCTGCATTGATTTTGTTTGATCTTGGCATATATCCTCTAGTTTCTTGCTGCTTTTGGTTGTTTTTCCTTTTTCAGATTATGATTTGGTCAGCATTTTTCATTTCCACAGAGAAAGGTAACATTCCCATCCACTCATAAGCGTAGACTAGAAAGTCTTTGGCAATTACTTCTGAAGCTTTACTCTGCTTTCTGTAGAGGGGCGGTCTGTGCTTACTCATGCCCCACCCCCCACCCCCCACTTTTCCAGGCAGCTTCACGAAATGCAGGCAGTAGCCAGGCAGGGTCATGGGAAGGGGGCCTGTGCTTCTAAACTGAGTGGTTGCTGGTTAGATATTCAAAAGAGGATAAAAATCTGGTAGATTAGTTCCTTCTCAGCATGTGTAGCTAGACATGAGTAAAGATAACAGCATGAGAACCGTTAGTACGCATACCTCAGTTCAAACCTTTAGGGAATGATGAAAACATTTAAAAATATACATTTCACTCAGTTGCACTTAGTTGTATGTCTTGCATGCTTAGTCTAAAGACTGTAGCAAAAAAAAAAATAAAGAAAAAAGAAAAATTAGATTTTACATATCTTTGCAGGTGTCACAGCCTTGCAGAAGAACCAACTCAAAAAAAATAAAAGAAAGAAAAGTTCTCAGGCTTTACAGCAAGCCATCTTCACTCTGATTTTTACAATTCTGATTCTGTCCCTTGGGGGGGATTCTGGTCGCTTCTTTAGAATGGGGTTGATGCGGTTGTACATATATCTCGATCTGTCTGTGTGAATCTTTGTCTTTTGTGGGGGAGGGCCGAGGGCAGCTCTTTTCTTTCTTTCTTTTTTTTTTTTTTTCTAATTTTATTTTTTAGGTATTGTTCCTAAAAAGGAATAAATGCATACATTTGTTTGTCAAAACATCTTTGCTTTTTGTGCAACTGCATTTTATTAATGATACTTTAAAAAAGAAGAAGAAGAAAACCACAGTGTCTTTGGGGGGAAAATCTACTGTATGTAATAGATTTGCAGCCAATGCTGCACCTGTATTTTATTTCATTACCCTTGATTTATGAACATTGGATGACATGTTGACATGTGGGAGGAAAGAAGAAACTCCAGAACAGTTTTTTTTTTGGGGGGTTGGGGGTTTTTTTGTTGTTGTTTTTGTTTTGTTTTTGCTTTTAAATTGTAATTGTAACATAGTTGACATAATTTGTTTCCTATTCTCATTAATTGGAACATTTTGTACAGGTTCATGGGGTGGGGTGTGTGTGAGTGTGTGTGTGTGTGTGTGTGTGTGTGTATGAGTGTGTGTATGTGTGTGTGTGTGTGTGTGAGAATCTGTTTTTGATACATTCCTGTTCCTTGTGTTGATCCTACCACTGCCTTCTTGACTATCTTAAAAGAAGTTCCTAAGTTTGAAATGAGAAAAAAAAAAAAAAAGTTGTTTAAAAAAAAATGTTCTCTCCTGCTGCAGTCAATATTTTTGCATGATGAAATTCCAGGGTCACACTTTCAAAGTTTTATCAGTAAAGTAGTGGTTAATAATGGGAAGTGTTGAAAATATTGAACTTTTTGTATAAAAACAAATTTACAAGGTCCCAAGGTGTAGACAATTTGTTACTTTTTCTTTCCTTTCTTAGTAAAACTCAAGCAAACATGAGGGAGGTTGGCCCATGTGTCAGACTCACACAGTCGTGATGAAGACCCACCCTTGTTCCTAGGGTCTGTCCAGGTGAAAAGGCTTAGGTTGCCATATTGCGCCAGCAAATGGTGAACCATCAAGACTTAACGTACATGGTGACCTAGCTGCCAGTGCCCTCCTCACATCAGAAGACAGTTGACTTGACATTCCCAGCATCCCTCCCGTCAGCCATAATAAAGCAAGCCTTGGTTTAAAAAAAATAAACAAAATAATTGAACCAAAATGTAATGTAAATCACTAACTCTTATTTTTTAACTACACACAAAATCAAATTGAGAAGTCTCCTCCTTTCTACATTCTAGCTGAGCTCTCAGTCTCCAAGCGCGTAAAGCAGACTCTGCTTATGACTTTGAATCTTTCTGGTACCTTCTGGTCAATGCCATACCCTCCGGACAGTCTGGAAGTGTTTTGCAACTCGGTTTCACTTTCTTATCCTGCGAAGCAATTGGACAGTTCTAAGGGCGTCTCGTGGGTCCACTGTAACTCGATGCAGCAGCCCTGCCACCCAGGCGCCTGGGTGGAGCTGGTGCGGTCTGGGTTGTGAGCGTGCTGCTCTCTGTGTATGTGCTGCCACTAACGAGGACTGTTTTGTTTTGTTTTGTTTTGATAAGGCATAAAAGAATCTCATTCCTTGACATCAACTGTAATTCCATCATTCCATGTCTGTGGATACAGACAATAAAAAAAAAAATGTTGTGTAGTCAGTGATCATTTACTGACATGAGAGCATTCTCAAATGCAATAAAAATGCTGGTTGTTCACACTGGTAGACAAAGTTGCCACAGCCTAAGTTTTTTCCCCACTCCTGACCTGCTGAGACCGTACAGCAGGCCCGTGCCCCATGCTCTCCCTTAGCAGCAGCTGCTCCGTGCCGGAGTCACAGTCGGCCTGGCGAGCGAGCGACGGGGCTGAGGGAAGCCCCTCACAGAAGGGTTCCAAGGAAAGGTGGAGGGGCCGGCTCCGTCAGAGGGAACACGCTCTCTTCTTCACCAAATTTGACAAAGAGAAAAAACAACAACAACAACAAAGCGTTTAATAACTAACACGAAGAGCCAAACTAAAATTTCAGAGGAAAGCAATCTTATGAATAATTCATTAACATTTCACATCTGCAAGATCAGTCATCCAAATAAAATGCTAACGTCAAAACCACGCACCATCTACAATATTCTCATCAAGAAAGCTTTTACATATAATGATAAACGCTTAGATTAGAACAGATGATTTTATAAAAATACTCTATCAAAAGTATGCTGGGTTAACCACACAGAGAAGATAGCAGAGCCGGATGGAGAACCCCGGGTCCCAGGAAACCACCTGTGGTGATTATTTTTAATTCTATACCTCTAGAAAAATGTGCTTTCTCTCTTCAGCTTAATTCTGTCACACATATTCTAAGGACTAATGAATGTAAGTAACCTTGTCTTTAACACAAGTCTCGCTGGCAATATACTGAAAGTAGCACTGCAGAGCTACACGTGATAGCACATTTCTTTAATCTCAGCACTTGGGAGGCAGAGGCAGGCTGATCTCTGTGAGTTCAAAGCCAGCCTACTCTACATAGTGAGTTCCAGGACAGCCAAGGCTACATAGGCCCTGTCTCAAAACAACAACCGAAAACAAACAAATAAACCCTGTAAGTGGCCAGACCACAGCATCATAAGAACCATTTCCTCTATATAGTTCCAAGCACATCAGTAAAGCTTCGAGGTGACAAGTGGCCTCGCAGAGGCCTTTCCCAGTGCAGTGTGCCTGCCCATTTGGGGGAAAGATTAGAAGGGCCGTTCCTGTATTGTTTATGAATCTGGATTTTTATGTTTTCTACGACAGTATGATTTTGTTTGGGGGTGGTTTTGTGTTTTTGTTTTGCTTGCGTTATGAGATAGGGTCTCCCTATGCAGTCCTGTCTGGTTTAGAAGTCCCCTAGGAAAATCAGGCAACCTGCCTTAAATTCGCAGCAGCCCTCCTGCCTCGGCCTCTCAAATGTTAGGACTACAGACAAGTGCCTCCATGCCTGGCTCACTTTTGTTTCCTTTTAAACAAGTAGATATTGTTACCAAGACAGGAATCAGTTTCCTCCTCTCATTGATTGCTCGGCCAGTCTGAAAGCCCCCTAGTCCGATAATTAGCAAAACATTGGAACCTTTAATTCTCACCTGGCTACTAAGAATATAATATCAGGGTTAACTGAAATCCCCTTAATTGCTAGGCTTAAACCCAGATGCTGCTCACAGGCTAGGCTGTGAGTTAGCTGTGCATCCGCATTCGTACTAAAACACGCCAGGACCTGTGCAAGCACTAGAGTGTGTAGAGGAGGTTCAGCTGGTTGATACCCACCGTATTTTAAATTGCATTTCGGGAATCATTCCATGGTGGGCATACTGTTTTAAAACAATCATTTCAAGCTTGCTCCTCACATAAAGCAGCTAACCCAAAATACAGCGCCTTCTATTAAACAGGGAACTTCCTTATAAAGAGCATAAGCTGTATACAAAACATGGGGAGCGTTGACATAAACCTCATCGGAGTGGATAAACAATACACTTATCCTTCCTGTTAGGCCGTCATCTTCAGTAATGTGAAGACGAGTAATCGCAAGTTAGCTTTTCAATGTAGTTGAGTCAAATGGAAGTATTCCTTACTCAAATCGAAGCTGGCTCTCAAACCTTCATTAAAGGCTCTAGTTAGACTGATGGACAGTTTAAGACAGAATTCATAGCAGAAGGAAATGAAATGAAAAATGCTGACATAACTGGAATAATGTGTGGATTAGAAAACCATCCCTCAGCCGGGCGGTGGTGGTACATGCCTTTAATCCCAGCACCCAGGAGGCAGAGGCAAGCAGATCTCTGTAAGTTCAAGGCCAGCCTGGTCTGCAGTGAGTTCCAGGACAGCTGGAACTATACAGAGAAACTCTTGTCTCAAAAAAACAAAAACAACCTCCCCCCAAAAAAACCAAAACCCATTCTACAGCACTTACATTTTTTTTTAAATACTACACATACAAAACAGCCCTATATCATTTTTATTTCCACTTTGATTAGTAAAACCATATTGGATACTTAATATCAGACACATACATGTTAATTTACCCATCAACAGTCGCCTCTGTTCCCCAGCCTCAAACCAAGATGGCGGGCTGGGAAAAGGACAAGTTGTGAGTTATAATGTTAATTGAAGGTAACCGGCCTTTCAAGAATTAATCTCAGCTAAGGCGATGATCATTATTTACCAGTCCGTGACATTTTTATCACTCATCATTTTAGCACGTTTCCATTGAAAATGCTAAAATGGTTCGTCATAAGGCAGATAACTACTTGAGCTGTAAAAATGACCAACACAAGTGGCAGTACTCGAACATTAAATTATACTGTAATTAATATAGACAGTTAAACTGTCTACTACCAACAGCAATTTAGGTAACCACATTTGATCAGCTATAAATTGTAACTACATTAAAATTCCAGAAATATTAGCAATATGGATTATTTGATGGAAGTCTGTGCTGATCAACTATCCTTTTTCCTCTCTCTCTCTCTCTCTCTCTCTCTCTCTCTCTCTCTCTCTCTC